CATAACTTTGAAAGGCTTGAAAAAGATTGGCTGAACTAAGCCTTTTCCAGAACTCTTCATCGGAGCTGAGCGTCTGCACCGGTGCAAATTGTTATCCGTTATTGATGCAGCTTACACCATTTAATTCATTCACTCTTTTGTCGACGGTTTCCGGCAGTGATGGAGTCGGAAAGTTGGAAGATCCTGTTTCTCCTGCTGGAGAGTTTCCAGCAAACAAGAAATTTTCGGAGAGTGACGACATATTGGATGATGCAAGCACTGCTGGCACGGGTTCTATTTCCTTTTCAGTTTTTTTAGTGCTGTATAAATTTCATGCACGCAGCATGAGTTGTCTTCCCACTTTCATCTCCCTTCTCACATTTTTGACCCAGCAACAACTGCATTTTCCTGTTTATTAGCAACTGTGGAGCTGTTTTGAAATTGGGAAAGAAACGATACCTTGCTAGTGCAAATCTACTACCTCACGCTTTCCCTAGCAATTTTTCCATTTCTGAAAATTTGCCCTGTTTCTGTTTATCACTTTCTTGAATTTTGCTAAAAACATTTTTTGGTTGCGATTTGCCTCATAATTTTTGCCCATCTCTGTTTGATTTCTGCTGACATCTTTATGACCCTAAAACAACCGAAAATGAAACAGTTGTACCAAGTGAAGTCGAACAGTTGCACCAAGTGAATTCGAAATTAATAGCTCTTGCGTAGCTTGAACTGATTTTTTAAATTGAGGCTGCATTTAGTCCCAGCTTTCATCCAGATTTTCATTATACTTTGACGTTTGATGAAAGGTGAAGGGAAGAGGAGGGAAAGCAAAGAGGAAGGACAAAGGACAAAGCTGTTGGGAGCTGGAGGAGGAGGGGGGATGATAAAACAAAGGGAGCATACTAAAGGTAATTGCTGCGTCGTGCACATCCAGTAATCACACAAGCTTTTCATGAAATTCCACAGGTTGTGTACAGTGGCACTCGTTGTTAGCTGTTAGCCGATTATATTCTGTTTCGCCTTGTCAGCAGCTGTTACCTGGGTCACTAGCATGAAAGCTCACACTTTTTGCAGATACTGAACCCGATGACATCTGTGAGCGGCCACAGTCGTGTAAGGGTGATGTTTGCAATGATGAAAATGAAATCGTATCGGACAATGATGATTTCGAAGAAGACTGTGGCAGTAGTGTGCATGAACAGTTTTTTCCTGGAAGTGATACAAGCGGTAGTTCTGCGCTTCTTTTTTGCACGTCCGAAAAAAGAAAAACGCATTATTTTGCAAGATTATGTCTCTGTAACTGAGTATTTGCATGTAGTATACCGCTATGCCCAAATTCTACTCTATTTCTCAATGAAAAAGGCTGTAGAGCCGTTTTTTTTTCTTGAAAGTATAACCTCGTCTGTGTGCTAGGGCAGGAACGTGAAACTAGTTTCCAGTTTTTCTGTGTCATCACATCTGGAGCAATATGTACGATTTTTCCCTTTTATGCATTTTTACTGTGCAGCGCTATAGCGTTGCTACAGCAAGCAAAAGTGCATATTATAGAGAAGACGTCCGTGTGTGTGAGTGTGTATTCAGGAGTGAGTGAATTTTGTCACCCGCTTTCATCTCAGCAACTAAGCAAAGTAGGAGACTGAAATTTTGGTTATATATTGCTACCCCATGTGTTATCTTTCCTTTTTATGCGTTTTTGCTGTGCAGCGCTATAGCGCTGCTACAACCAGCAAAAACGCATATTGTC